TGCTATTATTTTATCATCAAGGTAATAGGTGTGTTTGCCTTAACGGATTGCCTAATATCCCCAAAAGGCACGTCTCTCCTTTTCTCCCTCCATTCATGCCCTTTTAATTCTGCAGCACTGCTGGTCACAGCTGACCTCCAGTTGGAGCGCTCAAGGGCCAGGGCTTCCCAGTTCTCAGTGTCTATGCCAGAGTTTTAAGGTTGGCTTTGAGCCCATCTTTAAATCTCTTTTCCTGTCCACCAACATTCTCATCAGCCTGAGGCAGGCATCTTCAGAAGTTGTGAGGTCACAGCCCCTGTAGAACATGGCCCTATAGCCCGAAAAACCTACAACAACCCAGATATTATGACTATTATTAGTGTTGATGCTATTATTTTATAATCAAGATAATAGGTGTGTTTGCATTAAGGGGTTGCCTTACATGCCCAAAAGGAGAGAGGCTTCCTGAGGAGCAGAGGCCAGGGTTTGGTGCCTGGGTCTTTCTCTGAAGGGTTAAAGCGAGCGAGAGGGATTCCTAGAGGGGAAGAAGGAAGGAAGGGCCTCCTACCTTCTGGCCAGTGGTGAGCGCGTCCCTTCCTAGAGAGGCACCGGAAGAGGCTTGGCCAGTCCTTGGGTGGGACTGGAGGTGAGCCTGCTCTCCCTGGGGCATCTTCTCTCCTCTCTTCTGTGAGACCAGCCCACCCATTCAGGCTCCCACCTTCTCTTTCCTGGGTAAACAAGGGCCTCCCTGCCTTATTAATTCTTCCATCTCCTTCTCTGTCAGTGTGGACTCATATAATCCAAAGCAGAAAGCTTGGGATGAAGGGCCAGCCTGGAAGGGCCCTCAGGCAGCAGAGGAAGGGAGGTAGCAAGGAGGGAGGCCCAGGCCCTTTGTTTCTGGGAGGAAGGGGCTCTGGAGGCCCCCCTGAGGCCAGCCAAGGGCTCCCTTCAGGCCCTCCCTGCTTCTTCCTCCTTCAGAGGAGAATGTCTTCCTTCCAAGCCTCAGCTGCAGGTCCCTCTACCTCTCTTGCAGGCTCAGGGCCCGTCCAGGCAGCCCCCCCCCCTTTATATCATAGAATCAAAGAGTTGGAAGAGACCTCATGGGCCATCCAGTCCAACCCCCTGCCAAGAAGCAGGAATATTGCATTCAAAGAGGTTGAATGCAATATACTAGCCGTCCCCTGCCACGCGTTGCTGTGGCCCACATGGAGGTTCTGAGAGGGAGGTTTGGCCCAATTCTATCGTTGGTGGGGTTCAGAATGCTCTGTGATTGTAGGTGAACTATAAATCCCAGCAACTACAGCTCCCAAATGTCAAGATTCTATTTTCCCCAAACTCCACCAGTGTTCACATTTGGGCATATCGGGTATTCATGCCGAGTTTGGTCCAGATCCATCATTGTTTGAGTCCACAGTGATCTCTGGATGTAGGTGAACTACAACTCCAAAACCAAAGGACACCCTTCCAGTATTTTCTGTTGGTCATGGGAGAACTGTGTGCCAAGTTTGGTTCAATTCCATCGTTGGTGGGGTTCAGAATGCTCTTTGATTGTAGGTGAACTATAAATCCCAGCAACTACAACTCCCAAATGACAAAATCAATTTTTTTGAGTGAAGGACATACATTGGGTTGTTAGGTGTCTTGTGTCCAAATTTGGTGTCAATTCGTCCAGTGGTTTTTGAGTTCTGTTAATCCCACAAACGAACATTACATTTGTATTTATATAGATATATATATATATAAATATATATCTATCTCAGGATCTGGATCCGGGTTTCTGGTTATCCCAGATTATCTGGCAGTGCGGACTCATGACTGTGAGAGCTGTTCAGCAGTAGAACTCTGCCACTGCTCTCTGGTGCTTTGAATGCAGTTTTCCTGCTTCTTGGCAGAATGGGGTTGGACTGGATGGCCCACGAGGTCTCTTCCAACTCTATGATTCTATGTAATCCACTTCAAAGCAGAAGACCTGGGATCAGATCCTGGGGTTTAGGACCTGTCTGAAAGGGCCCTCAGGCAGCAAAAGAAGGGAGGTGGCAAGGAGGAGAGATTCGGGCACTTTGTTTCTTGGAGGGGCTCTGGAGGCCCCTCTGAGGCCAGCCAAGGGCTCCCTTCTCGCCCTCCCTGCTTCTTTCTCCTTCGGAGGAGAGTGCCTTCCTTCTCAGCCTCAGCTGCAGGTCCCTCTGACTCTCCTGCAGGCTCAGGGCCCTTCCAGGCAGGCCATCTATATATATATATATATCTTCTTCTCTCTATATAAATAAAAATATAATGTTCGTTTGTAGGATTAACATAATTCAAAAACCTCTGGGTGAATTAACACCAAATTTGGACACAATACACCTATCAGGCCAACGAGTGACCATCACTCATATCTATCTATCTATCTATCTATCTATCTATCTATCTATCTCAGGATCTGGACCCGGGTTTCTGGTTATCACAGATAATCTGGCAGTGTGGACTCATGACTGTGAGAGCTGTTCAGCAGTGGAACTCTCTGCCCTGGTGTGTGGTGGAGGCTACTCCTTTGGAGGCTTTTAAACAGAGGCTGGGTGGCCATCTGTTGGGTGTGCTTTGAATGGAGTTTTCCTGCTTCTTGGCAGGGGGTTGGACTGGATGGCTCATGAGGGCTCTTCCAACTCTAGGATTCTGTGTAATTCAGTTCAAAGCAGAAGAACAGGGATCAGTTCCTGGTGTGTAGGACCTGCCTGGAAGGGCTCCCAGGCAGCAGAGGGTGGGAAGTGGCAAGGAGGCAGTCTCGGGCCCTTTGCTTCTGGTGAAGGGGTGAATGGAGCTTATTAGGTGAAAGAGATGTTGGAAATGTTGAAAATGCAAGCCTAAGGAAGAGGTTTGTCCTTTGGCCTACAAAAGGAGCAAGGGCAAAAGAGAGATAGAGTTTTGGAAAGCACAGGATGCAGGGTTGAAGGATAAGGGACAGGATGACATCCAAGAATCAGAAGTCATAACATGTATGTTTGCTTGAAGTATGCTGAAGGTTATCAGTTCTGTCGGCCGCCAAAGTGGAAGAAGGTGAAAGAACATGTTTTTGAAAGGAAGTTTGGAAGAGGGTGGATCTGTTCATGATCTGTTCATGACACAGCAGGAGAAAAAGATATAAAGAATCGAACTGGAGAATCAAATGGCACAGGCAGCCTTTTGATAGACATCTGACTTGTCTGGCTGTTTTGTCCTTGTGCAGCTGGATGGCCATCTGTCAGGGGTGCTTTTAATGCAATTTTCCTGCTTCTTGGCAGGGGGTTGGACTGGATGGCCCATGAGGTCTCTTCCAACTCTAGGATTCTATGATTCTAAGGGGCTGAACAAGGGAGAGGACTACAGGGGAGAGTGTTGCTCTGTGAGAAGGAGGGGACCCTCTCCCCAAACCCTTTCTCTTCGGAGCAAGAGGCCAGTCCTCCATTCAACATACATGGTAAAACATCTCACCTTAACAGTATTAACGTGACCTTTGTTTTGTAGGTCATACCAGTTCTGCCAGTTCTTCCCCTTGAAATATCATCAGGTGGAAGGGGGGAGAATATGTTGTTCCAGTTTGGAGGCATTCGCGACGCATAGAAGCAAGATGGAAAGACAAGATCCAGCTGCTGCCCAGTTAGAAATATTTTCTTCTGCTGTTGAGAGTGAGAAGAATAGAGCACTCTGGGAGGACCCTTGGAGGAAAGACCGGGAGAGCACTGTGCTCGATTCAGACCTTCAGCGCCAGGTCTTCCGGCATTTCCGCTATGAGGAGGCCTCGGGGCCCAGAGAGGTTTGCAGCCGCCTCCACTCTCTCTGCRGCCTGTGGCTGAAGCCCGAGCGACACTCCAAGGCGGAGATGCTGGACCTGGTGATCCTGGAGCAGTTCCTGGCCGTCCTTCCTGCGGAGATGGATCACTGGGTGAGGGAATGTGGGGCAGAGACCASCTCCCAGGCCGTGGCCTTGGCGGAAGGCTTCCTCCTGAGTCGGGCKSAAGAGGAGAGGAAGCAAGAGAAGCCCCAGGTGAGAGAGAGAGGGGMGTGTGTGTTCATCTTGTAGTTTCAAGGAACCAAGAATAATTGTTTTGAAGGATAATATAAAACTCTTCTGAACTCCTCAGGCCAGGATTATCACATTCACTTTCAGGTAAGTAACTTTAAGAATAATATAAGTAAGTCAGAACAAGTTCAGAGAAGCATTAGGAAAGGAGGTCCCAGGTGTGTTGACCCTGGCAAAGAGACTTGGAGTGCCCTGGTTGTCCCCTTTGCACCCCCCAAGGATGGTATAACCAAGTATAATGATCTGAAGTTATGGGATGCTAAACTTTGAAGATTAAAAGGAATGTATTGAGAATACCAATCATGTGTATTTCAGAGGACACAAATGGCTGAATAATAATAATAATAATAATAATAATAATAATAATACTTTATTTATACCCTGCTCCATCTCCCCCAGGGGGACTCGGTGCGGCTTAACTGAGGCCACGCCCATCAGTGAAATACATTCATTATAATACAAAACATAACAATAACCAGAAAATAAAATACATAAAATGCAAAGAAATATAATAAATGACAACATGCAATATAAAACATGCAATTAAAAACAGAGGATTTCACTGGACCATTTCTGAATATTATTTCCCTAAGAAACTATGTTATTCACAGGTAGAGATTACTCAACAGGGACCTGAAAGCACAGGTATACAGACTTAGGTTACTCAGCTCGAGAACCTCTCTAGGGTAACCCCAAATATCACATTTGGGGTTACCCTAGGGAGGCTCTTGCATTGAGTAACCTAAGTCTGTATGTCACCCCCAGGATTACTCCTTCATCTCAGCAGTAGCTGAGTCTTGGAAGAAGAGCGCAATGCCCAAATGAAGGCCAAATTCCCACTCCAAAATCAAGGAAAGACAGATTTTTCTACAGAATGATTGTGGTCCCAACCACAATCTTAGCGGTCTGGAACAGGTTGCAGAAAGAGAGCCCTCCCACCTTTACTAATCCGTCTTTTCCCTTGTGATCTGTGCTGCTTGTTCAGGTGCAGGACTCTGTTGCAGGTGAGACCAGTCAGGTGGAGGAGTCACACATTTGGGCCGTCCATATTGGAGAAGGAGAATATATCCTAATTGGTAAGGGATGGCAGTGGTCCTTCTTGCTTGGGGAGAGTGGCAGGCTTCCGAAGAATGGGACTGTGGGACAGCCTGGGAAAGGCACCAATCTTTCCTCTCTTTCACAGGCAGTGAAACACAACCAAGTGACAGTAGCACATCTTTTTCTGATTCTTTCCTAAGAAGAGATTCTGTGGGACCAGATCAGGTAGGCAGCAGGATCCCTGGAAGGAAGGGGATAGTCAAGTCTCCTTGTCGCTTGAATATTGCCCTGACTCAAAATGAACTTCTTTTCTTCTGCATTCCTTCCATCCAAGATGTTTTCAATGAATGAGTTATTCAGAGATGTAAATCATAAAAGACTTGTTTTTCTTCTCTCTTGGATGGTATTTTCTCCTCGCAAATAACATGTTTTCCTCTTCAGGTGACTTTTGAAGACGTGTCTGTGGATTTCTCGGAGGAGGAGTGGGCCTTCTTGGATCCAAGCCAGAAAGCCTTGCACCAGCAAATCATGGAGGAGAATTTAGGAATCGTGTCATCTCTGGGTAAATCTCCATTGTGCTTGTAGTTAACCAAATCAGTTTATAAGTTCTAGAAATTATCCCATGTTTCAGATCTCTTCCTCTGAAGCCATAGAAAACAAGCTCATTCCATATCCAGATAGGGGCCAGCCCAAGAAGACAATTGGCACTTGGGTGGAATTGCCATATTGTATGAATTCTAAGCACATGGTTATGATGGTGGTGGGAATGAGACGGGTTTCTCTTGAAGATTCTAGCGGCCAGGTAGGTTTCATAGAATCATAGAATCAAAGAGTTGGAAGAGACCTCATGGGCCATCCAGTCCAACCCCATTCTGCCAAGAAGAAGGAATATTGCATTCAAATCACCCCTGACAGATGGCCATCCAGCCTCTGTTTAAAAGCTTCCAAAGAAGGAGCCTCCACCACACTCCGGGGCAGAGAGTTCCACTGCTGAACAGCTCTCACAGTCAGGAAGTTCTTCCTCATGTTCAGATGGAATCTCCTCTTTGTAGTTTGAAGCCATTGTTCCATTGCGTCCTAGTCCAAGGAAGCAGAAAACAAGCTTGCTCCCTCCTCCCTGTGGCTTCTCCTCACATATTTATACATGGCTATCATATCTCCTCTCAGCCTTCTCTTCTTCAGGCTAAACATGCCCAGTTCCTAAGCCGCTCCTCATAGGGCTTGTTCTCCAGACCCTTTATCATTTTAGTCGCTCTCCTCTGGACACATTCCAGCTTGTCAATATCTCTCTTGAATTGTGGTTTGTACAAGGCGATACAGTTAATCAAATTGCCTAGACCTGAGCCATTTCAGTCATAGCCAGAAATTTGAATTGTGTCTGGAAACAAATTGGCGAAGTATCTTTCTTTTCTTAACTGAAGTTATGGATTTCCACTGGGGTTTCTTTTCCCCTTAGCTCACAAGCTAACTACTAATTCCAGGTGCAATTGACTCTATAAACACACAAGCTGAAGACCTAAAACCCTTGGTTCAGTTTCCCAACACAACAGATCCCAACTTCCACTTTGATCCACTGACCAAAAGAAACTGACTTTTTAAAATGCCTTCGACCTGCAAGGTGGCGGTTAACTCCACTTGTGTTAGCTTCAGGGGTGGCTCAACTCATTACGCAAAGTAAGCATTTGCAGTATAGTTGATTTTGCCCACGGGCGTTCTTGAGGCGCTCTTGGGGGAAAATAGAGCTTGACATATGCGAGTTGTAGTTACTGGAATGTATAGTTCACTTACAATCAAAGAGCATTCTGAACTCCACCAATGATGGAATTGAACCAGATATGGCACACAGAACTCCCACGACAAACAGAAAATATATATCAGTGATTGGTTTGGGGGAGGTGGGTGCCAAAATACTGTTTGCTTACCTTGAAAATTACCTAGGGCTGCCTCTGGTTAGCTTCACTTGCGTTTTAAATTTGAACAGCTGATCTTGCTGCCGGAGCTCTACTGGCAGGTCATTCCACAGTCTTGGCTTCTCTAACTTGGGTACTTTCTAACAGCCGACTCCATCGCTACAGCAATGCATTCTCTAAGGCAATCACAGCAAATGTTGACCTGCAACTATCATATCACAACATCAATACACACATTTAAAACATACATTATAATTAGCTATTTCGTTACACACGCTATCCTTAGTTGAAGCTGTTTTTAAAGGGATCGAGAAATATATTTGGGTGTCATCAGCATACTGATTATCTCTCCTAGCAGCTTCATGTAAATGTTAAAAAGCATTGGGGATAGAATGGCACCTTGGGGGACACCAGATAACACAATAATGACTTGTGTGCTCTCTGTAGCCAGCCTTAGTTAACAGTCTGACTGCAGCTAAACTTTGGACCAGTTTTTTAAAATCTTTAAAGGCTTCCCCAGGTAGAGTGTATTATAATAATCCAAATGGGAGGAAACTAAGGCATGTACCACTATGGGCAGATCTGTTTTCACAAGGAACAGGTACAGTTGGTGCACAAATTCAAAATGTGCAAGGCACTCCTGGTCACATATGAAACCCGGGCCTCCAGATTCCATGCCAAGTCCAGGGAGTACCCCCCAAACTGCGGACCCTTATCTTCAGTGGTAATGTAACCCATACTGCACAAGCTGATTCCCTATTCCCTGATATGCATTCTGACTGACCAGTAGCATCTCTGTACTTTGGATTAAGTTTCAGTTGGCCCTCTCCAGCCCATTACTGGTGAAAGACATTGGTTTAGTTGGAAAGGAGAATTAGAACTTGGTGACACCTGTATATAAAGATGCACCACACTCCAAAACTCTGAATGAGCTCTCCCATATATATGTTAATTTCATAGGGGACAAAACAGATGCCCCAGGGATCCCCCAGGCAATGGGCAAGGGACTGAACAGGAATCCCCCAGCAGGACTTTCTGGGTTTGCCTCTCCAGGAAAGAACAGAGCCACTGTAAAATGCCTCCAATTCCCATCTAGGAAGGCAACCCAGAAGGAGACCATCATTGCTGAAATGTTCAGTGGAATCAATAGGGACACATTTTCCTCTTCTGTCTGGGTCCCTCTGTAGACCCTCAACCAAGGTTGCCAAAGCAGTCTGTAGCATAAGCAGTAGGCTTGTGCAATACAGCCAAAAGGCCTGCCTTTTCAGGGTCCATTTTTGATTAACCCCCCATTCTGTTTATCGAGAAGTTACTCAGATCAGGAGTGTTGACACTTTAATTGGCTATAATGGGAAACTTCATAGGCTCAATCCTCAATCATTTTAAGGCCTATCTGCATGAGACCCACCTCAGTTTTAGATCTCATTTACAAATGCAAACAGGCCAAGTTTCAGAACAATTCACCAATATACTGATTTTTAAGAATTATTTTAATTTTTTACCATAACATTTTAAAAAATAAAACAAACCGTAAGAGAGGTTTCTAGGAATTGTAGTCACCAGTTGTGTCCATTCTCAGCCAATCTGAGCATGGACACAACTAGGTTTTTTATTTGATGAGAAACAGAGAGAAAAACCCCCATCATTCTCTGACAGAAACTCTGAGACTTTTCAATGCCCACCCCATGCAATGGCTGCTGGGAAAGTGAGTTGCTAGCAGGGCCTTCTCTGGAGTAGGATGGCCTCAGTTTGACCCCCTCAACTCTCTAGGACAGTTGTTCTCAACCTGTGGGTCCTCAGATGTTTTGGTCTTTTAACGCCCAGAAATCCGAACAGCTGGTAAACTATCTGGGATTTCTGGGAGTTGTAGGCCAAAACACCTGGGGACCCACAGGTTGAGAACCACTCTCCTAGAAGTATTTGGTTAATCGGGTTCCCTCCTGTTCATGCTCTGTGCAGCCTCCAGGAGAGAGCAGAGTTGAACATGCGAGGCATGGAAGAGAAGTGAATCAACATGCATGCACCCCCTTTCCCCCTCTATATTTACACCTATTTTAGTCTTTGGTCCCTTGTCAAAGTGGTCCCTGGTATATATATATAAAAGGTTGGGAACCACTCCTCTCTATTTACACCTGTTTTAATGTTTGGGGCCAAAGCCCCAAGAGGAGTGGCCTTTTTGAAAAAATGTAGCTAGTATTTTTTATTAGTCCATAACATGTTTATATATCAAATTTTATCCAGTTCTATCAAGCCATTTAGAAACCTTTGCAGCCCACGCATAAACACTTTGATTTATGTATATATTGATTTCTCTATACACAAAAAAAGGATGACAATATATTCGAGTCCACACTTGTGAAGCCAACAATATAAAACACATTTTGCCTCATACCTGTACTAATTCTGAAGTTAATAAAATCAGCAGTAGGGAGTTGGTTTTTTAAAAAAGACAAAGGGGTTAAAATGAGAGCATTTATTTATTTATTTAGAGCTTTTATAACCCAGTCTTCTCGAACTCCGAAGAGGGACTCAGGCCGGTTCACAACAGGAGATTCATAGACAATTAGCATCAAACATAACACATCATAATACATTAATACATAAAATACATTAAAATACAGATCATACAATTACATAAGGCCAGGTCGAATTTGTAGAATCACAAATTCATCACCATCCGCCAGTGTGGTCAGCAGTTATTGACTCAGTCATCATTCTGCAAATGCTATATTCCAAAGTCATGATTTTACCAGCTTCCTGAAAGTCAGGAGGGAAGGGGCAGATCTAATCTCCAGCGGGAGAGAGTTCCAGAGCCGAGGGGCCACCACCGAGAAGACCCTGTCCCTCGTCCCCACCAAACGCGATTGCGAGGGTGGTGGGACCGAGAGCAGGGCCCCTCCAGAAGATCTTAATAATCTTGATGGTTCATGGGAGAGAATCCGTGAGAAATAACATTTAACTTTTAATTTAAATAACATTGAGAAATAGAGAGAGAAATAACATTTAAAATGAGAGAAATAACATTTAATCAATAATATAAGGATTGACAAAACAAAGAATGTCAAATTCCAGTTGTGTCCATCTTCATTCAGTCCTTTTTAATATGGCAACTTTATTCTGGCTGCTAATCTGAATGTTGATGTTTGTTCTGCTGTGTGAATAAACCTTTGTGGCATTAGGCAGATCAAGGGTTTTTACCTTTCCTGTGCCAGAAGTACAGGGGATTCCAGAAAACAAGGGCTAAATAGTTCTATTTTACCCAGTTGCCGTTGAGTTATGATTTACTTTGAGGCCTGTTCTCTGGAATCTTGGATT